AAATATGTTTAATGTGATCATTTTAGGCATGTTTAACGTGTTATTTAGAGCTGATTGTATTTATATCCTCTCCTCTGGGGTTGTATGTCATGCAGACGCGCATCTCTCTATTGATACTGCAGCTTGTGAATCATGCATGACAGGTACTCAATAATAATTGGTACGGATTACTTTTGACATCTGGCTGTTGGTGACGGCGGCTTTGTTCTGTGGCCTGATTTCATGCGCACCACATCAAAGGCTGGCGTTTCTCTGTCTAGCAAAGGGCTGAAGGATGATTTTACTGACTTTCCTTCAAGAAGTGGTCTTGAGAATTGCACGCACTTTAGTTCAATGAATTAATGCTTCTTTCCTCGACTCAAAAAAAGGTGGTTTCCAACAAATACAGTAGTTACCAATTGATGCTTTCTTGGTAAAATCAGTGATCCACCATTCATGGAGATTTGAGAAAATGACTAATACTGCTGTATTATGTAAGACAGGCAAGTAGTTAGCGATGTGACCATATTAAGAAACACTACATCTGCATTCTGTAGTTTGCCATTTTTGTTTTTATGGAGATGATAAAAACAATATAATTAGACTAGCTGACAATTATCTTGCCGTTGATCCCAGTTGTTAGAGCAACAGATAATAAATTGAATTCTAGTTGATCAATTGGAAAAGTGGCAGAAGGTGGATTTGCCAAGTTTGGTGAAGGAAAAATCATGGTTTGGGTTTACATTCAGTATGGGGTAGTGCGAGCGATTTGCAGAGTGGATGGCAACATCAAGAGCCTGAGGTATCAAGACATTTGTGCTGCCCATTACATTGCTAACCACAGGAGAGGGCAAATACTTCAGCAAGATAGCTCTCCTTCTCATACTTCAGCCTCCACATCAAAGTTCCTGAAAGAAAAGAAGGCCAAGGTGCTTTAGGATTGGCCATCCCAGTTACCAAATATAAACATTATTAAGCATGTCTGGGGTAAGATGAAGAAGGAGGCATTGAAGATGATTTCAAAGAATATTGATGAACTCTCAGAGTCCTGCAAGAATGTTTGCTTTGCCATTCCAGATGACTTTAATAAGTTATTTGAGTTATCCTAATTAAATAATTAAAAATCAAGGCATGATCATACTTTCTCTTGGTAAAATAAGCATAATCTAGAGGCCTTTGCCTTTTATGAAAGCCACTTCTGATACCAAAAGATCAACAACAAGTCAAGTTATTATTTGATCTTCCTAAAACTTGGATAGGCGACAAGACTTTTGTCAGGTAGTGTATATAACGATAATATATAGACAATAATAAATCTTCCAAAAAAAACCAAAAAAAAAAAACCTTCAAACCAGTTGTAGTTATGCAAAGGAACAGCCAAAACATATTCTAAAAATGACATTTTTAGCTGAAAGTGGTGCTAATTAACTGTGGTAAAAGTGGTGGTGTTAATTGACCTTAATAAGAGTTTTATATAATTAAATAAAATGTGTTATAATTTATTTAACTATTACTTACATTAGGTTTTCATTAGGTTTTCTGTTTTTTTTGTGTATTTTTGACTTTAGGTAAGTCTGTTATGTTTACCAATTTGCATTTATTTAATCACAAACAGGGCAAAAACTATATTGTGAAATATTCATGACAGACAAGGTAAATACTACAAAATACACGTTGTGGATTATTTTAACTCAATAGAATGGAGTCAATTATTCCAATTAGATGATAGTTGCCACTCCTAAACACATTGTTCAGATGTTGTTTTTCAGGAGATTTATCAGGTTTTGTCCTCATACAGTTCAAGCATTCAACAGCCCTGTAGTATATTTCCAATTTAAATCATTTACATCTTTTCATCAAAAACTTTGGTTAGATTTTTGAGGAAATTGTTTTAGAACGGGATCACTCAACATCAAATCATATCTTTCCTTTCCTAGTTTTAATATTTCCAGAATAAACTTTACAAATCCCGAGATGAATTACAAACTTTGACCTAAAATAAAACGGATGGACACAACGTTGGAAACAACAGGAGAGGGCTGTATAACTGAGGATGTGAAGATTTAGTGGGGTTGGGAGGTGCCTCGAAAGACTTACCGCAGGCTCACCAGGGAAGGCCACACTGAGGCGGATCAATACTCTGCTAATGCAACTCTCATTATTTCTCGGAATAAATTCTCCTGACTCGGGGACCGACACTAAAAGCACCTGGTGGTATTTCAGTGGCTCCGGGGGGCCCTTGGGGTCCCAGGATGGCTGCATCAGACTCTGGCGGGCTACTAAAGCCCCAGACAAGCTTTCGAGACCTTTAGCACCGAGCTCTAAGGGGACACATTAACAGAGAGTCTCACAATAGCCAATAGCCATTTTGATGTGTCTAACAAGAAGACAATAAATTGTCCCTCATTACTCAGTAATTAACTCCACAGCCCCATCCCCCCCTGTACTGACACTTAAATCACCCTTTCCTTTCACAAACACCCCCTAACGCTCTCCTTCCCTCCGCCTGGTCTTTAATTTCCTCTTCTCCGTGGGGTGTAAAGAGAGACTCCATCATTCCCTGCCATATGCGCTTTCCCTCCCCAGCTCATCTCCAACCTTACCTTTTACCCCATCCTATCCTCAGAGACCCAACACCTGAAAAAGAGCGTGACCTTATGACCGGGGATGATGAACCTATAAGGGTCTGCTTTGCTTTGGCGAATCCTAAATCTGCTGCCGATCCCTCAGGCCTTCACTTTCCGCAGGGCTTTCCACAATCCTCCATTGTTAATTGTTAAAATGAGGTTATTAATTGGATGCAAAGGAAAATCACCTGTCATGTCAGATGGGGATCATTTACTCATTGAAAGGTATCTCTGTTATGAGCCCATGGGCTTGATGGGCGTTTGAAACACACTGGGATTGAACGTCTGCGTAGCCCAGAGGCATAAAACCCACCCGAGTTCATAAAAAAAGGGGGAGCTCACTTTTTGATTGTGTACATGGCTGACATACATCCACTCGCATGGCCCAGATTCAAAAGCCACGAGCTGTTTGATAGCCTACTGGGGGATAAATAATCTTGGGAAATAATAGATAATGGACTTCACACTTGCACACATCGGAGCATTCATAATTCAGAGATAATTTCCACATCATACGATTTCAAGATCTGCATTACTTTTATTCAAACAAGTTTTTTCTCTGACACATTCCTTAACATTGTTAACAACGTAGCTTGCGTTTTCTCATGCAGAGTACAGAATTGTGGGGAGTGAGTTGATCTGTTATTTTAAGATTGTTTGGCGAGTGATATTTAGCTAGCTTATTTAGTATAGATCTATAAAAACTCATCATTCATCTTACATAATCCATCGTACATTCTCTTAATACAGAATTATCAGAGACAATGAAAAGACCGTCACAGATGCAAAGAAATAAAACAAACTTTTGTGAAGTTCTTTTAATAGATAGTAAGACCACATGCTGAACCATTAGTGAAGCCCAACAGCTCCTGTGGCTCCCATAGCTATCAGGTAATTTGACAGAGATCCAAAAGTTGTAGACATGCAGATGTTTACCGTTTAAGCAGGCATCTGTTTGCTCAGGCACACTTTATGTCAGGGAAAGCGTGACAGGCCTCTAAAGTCTACTTGGAGAGCAATTTATGCCAACCTTTAAAGTGCAGTGCAAACGAAAAGAAAACGTACTGTCTTGTTCACATTTTTTGTAAATATACATAAATAAAACCAACATAAAAGTCAGAGGAATGTCTCATAAATGTGGTAGACTCACTTGCTACTTTAATAGATAGACCTTGCAAGTAGCATGTTGGTGGATATATACATACATACATACATACATACATACATATATATATATATATATATATATATATATATATATATATATATATATATATATATATATATATATATATATATATACATACATACACACACACACACATATATATATATATATATACACATATATATGGGTGGTGATGGTATACATATACATATATATATATATATATATATATATATATATATATATATATATATATACATATATATGTATATATTATATATGAATATATATATATATATATATAAATGACCCTCTTCTTATTGAAAAAAACAAAAGTTGGATCCAAGACGGCCAACTTCAAAATGATGACCTTGGTCACCAACCATCTTGAAAACTTTGCCCCCCTCACATATACTAATGTGCCACAAACAGGACATTAATATCACCAACCATTCCCATTTTATTAAGGTGTATCCATATAAATGGCCCACCCTGTATATATAGTTGCCACAACTATATCACCCTTCAGCCCAAGAACGGTCACTCCTCACTGAGCTAAGCAGTGCTGAGCCTGGTCAGTACCTGTATGGGAGACAACCCAAGGTAGCTGTTGCAAGGGGTGTTAGTGAGGCCAGAAGGAAGCGCTCAACCTGTAGTCTGTGTAAGTCCTAATGCCTCAGTTAAGTGAAGGGGACACTATACTGTCAGTGAACGCCATCTTTCGGATGTGGCATTAAACCGAGGTCCTGACTCTCTGTGCTAATTAAAAGCCCCATGGCACTTCCTGTAAAAGTAGGGGGGTAAAGGCTGATTTATACTTCTGCATCAAGTGCATGGAGGCATAGCCCTTGCCGTGGCAGTCAGCGACGCTGACGCGCACCTCTCAAAAAATGTAACTACACATCGCAATGATGCGTAGCGCAAGCTCTATGATTGGCTGGCTTGGTAGCGCTGACGAGTGTGGGCGGAGGTGAGAGCAGCATGCGCTCGATGCAGCGAGTGTTTACAAATGTGGAGTGCCGTGAAGAAGCTCTGGATGGAAACTGTTGTTTTGTGTTGTTCACTTTATGATTAAAGTTGTTGCACGTCCGCCGGTTCCAGCCTCAAAATTAGAAAGTTTGAGCCACTTGTACATTAAGGTAGCGTTCAGAAAAAAACAAAACACCAGCAAAGAAACTCGACACAGAAGAACATAAACATCTCATTGCCAGCTAGCGTTTCAGAAGTGTTATTGCACACGCAGAAGTATAAATGCACAGCTATGCGCAGAAGTATAACCTGGCTTAACCGTTGTGTCCTAGCCAAATTACCTCCATCAGCCCTTAACCATCATAGCCTCTCAATCATCGCTATCCACTGAATTGGCTCTATCTCTGTCTCTCCACTCCACCAAAAGCTGGTGTGCTGCTGTCATATCATCCAAGTGGATGTTGCACACTGGTGATGGTGTGGAGAGACCCCCCTCACGATTGTGAAGGGCTTTGGGTGTATGGCCATACACGATAAATGTGCTACATGAATACATATTACATTACATACGAATTCTATGTGGCCTAGGTTAAACAAGGTGTTAACGTTCCTCAGAGATTATGATTCGTATTGTCAGGAGAGCATCACACAGTTGCTGCAGATTTGTCCACACGTCATACAATCATACCATTCTTTGTACCATGACTTTTGTTACAACAAAATTAAGAATGAAACTTTTAGGAAACAAGCACTACCTATTTCTCAGGTAACTGCCCTGAGGTTTTCCTGTTGTTTGAACAATTAGGTTACTCTATGGGTATCTCTATCTGATAGCAGAAAACAAATGTTTAGCAAGCCACGACAGCACAATAACACTTCAGCACACTGCTTAGCGTGATCGTTCCCTTACCTTGACCTCTCCCTGAAATAGACACCAGAATTACATGCACACAAACACACACACAAAAGTGTCGCTTTCCCCATTACGTGACGAGAGCCTGGCGCTGACAAAAAAACGATCTATTACACCGTCGCCATGCACTCGAGAGAGCAGTCTTCCTGAACGAAGAACAAAGGTTGATGGGCCCTAGAAGGACAAGTGTCCTACAAAACACTGTCTCAAACCGGCTGTTAACAACTGCACTCTAGTTTAAACAAGCCATCTACACAGGGACACAGCGAAGGCCTTTTCTCTCCACTTCGCTCTTCATTGTGATAAAAATCGACATACGTTGACAAAAGGGCCTGTTATTGTGTAGAACTGTTTACAACTGAGGCTGATAGGATTGTTTTATCAAGTTTGCGATGCATCTGGACGTGCATGCAAGTTCATTTCTATTGTCAGTATTCAATCAGTTCCGTGAGTAAAAGCATAACACTTTTTGTTCTTGTGTTAATTAGGAGAAAACTAGCCAATCAGAGGTTCTTCTTTACTACTTTGTACTTTACTACTTTTTACTACTTTGATCACTGATGTGAGTTAATGGGCCGAGCTATTAAAAATTGGACGAGCTGCACAAAAAGCACTTACAGCATGCTCCAAATGAGCATATATTAGCCTGCATACACACACAGTAGAGTTCTTGCATAAAAAGTAGCAACTTTTTCCCTCTCAAAGGGACTTGTAATTGTGAAGTGTTCTCGCAATGATGTCTTCAGATTTGCAGGCACCTCAATGAAAGCAAACCTCTGAAATTTCCATGGCTAGCTCAAGGCATTCCCCTGTTTCATGGCAGGCGTCCATAAGGCCACAGTCAAAATCACAACTGCAGTTCCAGGTGGTGTTGTGTGCAGGTTCTACAGGTGGTGAGAAATGCATGTAGGTTGGGCAGATGGAGTTAGCAGCCCGCTCGCATGTTTCAGGTAGCATGAGGAACATGTCGTAGAAACGGCAGAAGAGACAGTTCAGCACGATCCCAGCACAGAGCTCTAAACAACAAGAGTAAGAAATCAAACTTCTCAGAATTGCTCATTTATTTTACTAACTGCGGGTTCATCTGCATTTCTCATTTAATTACAACTAGGAAGTTATTAACTTAAAACTGTGACATTTACATATACAGGAAATAGGTACAGATACTAGCTATACTGTATGTCCTCAAATCTAAATAAACAGATGAAAACAATGTTCAAACCAATCTAATAAAATAAAATGTGTCAAATTGTTTTTGAAGGTGTTTCTTCAAATACACGCAGATAAATACATGAAGTTCCGATGGTTTCATGCAGAGATGTATTTTGATAATGGAAAAAGAAAGCTTTTCTTTAATTGGGTTTTTAAAATGCACAAAATGCTAACAATAAAATTGGGATTGGTTAAAAACTTCCACCAACTTCACATGACATTTGCACTGCTGACATTTCTATCTATGCATGTCATCAAGACAAAATGCATAATCGGAGATGCATAATTGTTCTGAGATGTCTGTTTTTGCACACTGTTAGTGAAAAAAAAAATCAGTGAGATAAATGTGGTAAGAGAGTTAATCTTCTAAATCTCCACAAGGCCAGAGTGTCCATGTTTGAAGAAACAGCCTTAAACAGCTGTGGGGTACAGTACTAAAACACTGCATGTGGAGTCTTTAGCAAAGCTAAGATTATTACTGTATATACAGGGTTCATACAGATTTTACTACAAAACTTCCATAACTTTTCCAGGACTTTCAAGTCAATTTTCATGACCCAATGTTTCCTGTAATGTCTACATATACGTGGTAAACCATAAGAAACATTTACATTTATTACAGCATATCATAAAACATGCAATTGTTTCAATAAATTTTTTTATCTATGTAAAATAGATGATGCTTACAGTGCACTAATAATGTGAGAGCATGTTTTAGGCCAAAAAAAGAAAAGAAGTAAAAACAACTAACCTCCATTCCAATTTACAGATATTTGTCATAAATTTTAGATAATCTTAATAGTTTGTTAAACTAGTAATAGTAGGTAAAACAACTTCTATTATAAAGCCGCGATCACACTGCACTTTTTGCTCCATAGACTTTTATTTATAGGCATGCGAATGCGGCAGACCAAAAACGCAAGAACGTGCGACAAGTTTCACTGCATTCGAAAGTTCAAGCTTGGTAAATTCATACCTGCTAAATCACATCAGGTGATTACGTGAGACAAATAGAAGATACTTTAAAATAAGACATTTAAAATATGGAGCAATCGCTCACTTTTATTAATGTCTAATCATATTGTTTAACTCCGCCCCTTTTCGCAGCACTCTACGGCAGAGTTTTGCAAGCACAAGCTGTAGTGTGACCGCAGCTTAAGTCAATTTGGACAAAAATGTCTAAATGTAAATGTAACATCCACAACTTTTACAAAACCTTGTGGGTTTTTCTGTTTTTCCAAAACTTTTCCAGGCCTGGAAAGTGCCATGTCAAAATTCCATGACTTTTCCAGGTTTTCCATGACCGTATGACCCCTGTATATATGTTGCTGAATAGTTTGTAAAAGTTTCCTTATTAACATGCAGGCTTTATCCCTCCTTTACACATACAGTACATTATAATATGCCACAGCTCATTATAGTATGCATTCATTTAGAACCTAACTGAAACGATCACATCTGTCAGTGTCACATAGAGATACTGTTACCGCCACATATGCCACAAAAAGAAATGTTACAAATGCTCAGAATGACATGGCATAGCTTAAAAAGCCCACAGTGTGTTACACATGTTATAGACCCTAAATGCCTCTGAAAACTCTTACCTTGGGATTTCAGCTGATGGGGATAGACACTTAAAGGCCCTTAATGACCTGAAGTCTGTCTGCACCTCTTGTATACAACAGTTTAAAAGCCTCCCAGCTCTCGCTGGGCACTTCTGTACACATGCATAATTTACTGAATCACCTTTTCCTTCCAAAGAAAGACGGAATAGAGCTGCGTGTAGATGTAATCAATTATCATCTGTCTGTATAGGTGTTTCTTCCCCTAGAAAATCATCTGTGCTCTGCTGGAGAGAAACAGGCACTTCTACGTGATTAAATAAACAGGGGAATGACACAGACTTACGAAATTAGGAGGATTTCAGCACAGTCAACTTAATGTGATGGTCTGTTTTGAAGAGATGTTTCCACACAGCCCAGGGTCTTATGTAAAAACTATAATAAAGCAAGCTTCAAATGGGGCTTTCAAGCCTTTAAGTAGATTTCAGCATAATGCGGGACAAAATATCCTTGCCTCTGAGCATACAGTAAGAGAGAGAATTAGATTAACCTCTAAATATTATACCAGGAAAAGCACTGCAACGCATGTGTAAAGCTCGACACTGCGACATAATGACTGCACCTTAACTCATCTGAACCTGCCGGCTGAATGAGGGAAAATATATTGTTCTAATTAATTTCATATTGAATCATAATAGTCACGCACAAGAGTTCTCAACGCACGATTTAAATAATTCATCTCTATATGTAAGTTTAATCGAATGTGCTGCTTAATTCAGTTATTCAACTGATGTAGACAGCTTTAAAATCGCATGCTTTTCCTTCGTTTTCATTTTAAATTATAGATACGTTTTAATAATTCACAATTTAAAAATGCATAATTATGTGCTTGTGGCAACACATAAATTCATAAAAGAATCAAAGGATTTTTTTTAAACAAGACAGTGTATAAAACCACCGCTCGTTTGAGAGAAAATTAGGAGTTGAAATTTTAATCCCAGACAATTCGTGGTGGCAGTTGATGGTGTAATTATTATTCATTAGAGCACTTTAGGGCACTATAGTGGTCTGGGAGAAAGAAAGCTGGCCATTCTGCAAAGCCAGGTGTGATGATGCGTGACTCACCTTCTCTCTCCTGGGACTCAGACAGAGAGCTGCTGGAGGAGGAGGCGCTGCTGTACCTGTCCACTGAGCATAAGGAGTAAGTCAGTTCTGTAGAGCCCGTGTCTGCTTCTCTCTCCCAGGGATCCAGCTCAGGAATGGGCGAGAGTCTCCCAGGTGCTGTGCTGGACACCTCTGTTACTGCAAAAGAAGAGGCGTCTTTGTCACTCTCTCCAAAGCAATTTTCACTGTATTGAATGTACACATTTTTGTACTAGTTCTTGCTTTCACTTGGAATCGAACCCACAATCTTGGCTTTGATAGTGTCATCTTCTACTGTTTCATCAACAGAAAGTAAACTGGAGAATATATTATATTATATTATATTATATTATATTATATTATATTATATTATATTATATTATATTATCACAAACACAACAGTAATCTGGTAGTGATTGTGTTGCTTTGGCTTTTTCGGCTTTTTTGTGATCTCCAGATTGCAAAAGAAAAATACAGGGAAATCTCTGTGGACTGATGGCATTTCATGCTGTTCAGCTCTATAATCTTAAAATGGCAGCAAAATCACCTGTTTTGTCATCACTTTAGACATTACGCTACAAAATCATTCAAATACTAGCTCTAAAGTGACGTTTGTGAAGTAACAACGGCTTCTGCTGCAGATGTGAATGAATGGCAAAAGAAAGTAGTTCCTCATACAAAATAATTTTTAGACTCTCTGTGTTTGATCTTCTTTTATATGCATGATTAAGCAATCAAACTGTTGTATAAACGCAATATAACGTTCGTAGCATTGCAATATGGCTGCAAATCATCACTGGTGGGAGACTAAGGAACTTGGTCTGCGGTTTCGTGCCAACACACGCCTCCCACCAGTGCCGATATACAGCCATATTGCACTGCAACTCGTGTGATATTGCTCATATATTATATTATATTATATTATATTATATTATATTTTATTATATTATATTATATTATATTACATTACATTACATTACATTATATTATATTATATTATATTATATTATATTATATTATATTATATTATATTATATTATGCAGCACATGGTTGTTTTGTGCTGCTTTAATAATTAAGACTATATAAAAGTGTCTCTTCATTTAGTTTAGTGTTAGTTTTCATAAAATCCCATAAAGGCAACAGTTTATCTAAAATTTTCAATTCTTTCATTACTTTAAACTTTTATGGTTTACCTAAATGTCATAGCAGAATGTCCAAATAATTATTGTGGTGACATTGCTTTCAAAATAAGATTTTTCAGACATAAATTAGGGTTGGGCAATGTCGACCGATTTGGCATAGTATGAAGTCTAATGTAACGCATCGCTATGGACGATGGCATTGTCTTCGTGGGCTGCGGAGAATTAATTATTTATGAATAATTAATTATTTGTTGTCCACCGTTTCAACTACCTGACCTGCATGGTCTTTGTTTTACCCTTAACCAAATCATAAATAAATAAAGATAAGGCACAAATTAGCACCTGTCAATCACTTTTTCCGCGGGACTCTGGTATGAATAGGCAGAATGATCTGTGCCGTTATAATGGCGTCAACCAACTTGGTTGGTAAAAAAGGTGCACAACCAACAGCAACCAACTAACAGTATTAGAGGTTTCCACTAGAATTACTAAGTAAAAGTGTAAAAGCGAAAGATTGAAGCAGTTTACTCATGCTGTGCTACGTTACCTGATAGATTCAAACGAGAGAGAACAACTAAAGTATATGTTTAACAACTATAGTGAGACGCAATCCAGTAGTATATAAACCTTGAAAAACTGTCCGACATGCACTGCTCTCTGGGGTTTTGTGCTCAAAGTACCTGCTGACTGTCTGGAGCTCAGACGTGCGCATATGCTGCAGCACATGTGTGTGTGGTCACGTGTGTTTTCAGCAGTATAATGTGGATGGAGATCTTTTCAGAAATGCTAGATGAAATGTGGACGTGAATTGTTTTTGCTCTAAAATACCATTTAAAAAGTAAGTCATATTAGAGTAAACAGGCCTAAATGTGTATTTTTTGGGAGCGGGTTCCTGCTGCAATGTGAGCGGATCACAATGCTGGCTCAGCATCGTGATGTCTATCAGCCATCGGCGATGGACGATGGCATCATCTATCAACCCAACCCTAACATAAATTATGTTTTCCTGTCAGCTATGAATTCTGAATTTAGTGTCAGTGTTGTATGGGGGAATTTTATGGTGCACTTTTAGGAGTTTCCCCATTGACTTAAACTGTAATGAAAATTGTAACTGTATTGAATTCACACAGCTTCAATCAAACGGGGACAGTAAAGAGTGCAACATTAAAAATCTACATTACCACAATTCTGCATAGACATTTCCATGTTACGGCACTCAAAAGTCCCACAAAAGGGTTTAGCATTGCTTTGAAAGTGCCTTTATATTCATCTCTGAAAAAAGGAGAATGTGTAATTTTTGCAAAGCTAAAATACACCAACTTTAAATACTCTAAACATCTATGTCAGTAACAAATCCTTCACTATATGCAAAACAATCAACGTTCTCTTATCCACCATGTCAGTCCTCATTTCCAAACGTCTTTCATCCTGAAGCAATGTTTATCGAGACCTGTCTAGAAAACATGCTGAGATGTGTTCCTCTGCTCTCACCGGTCTCAAAGAAAGCCCAGAAATCATTCAATAATGAATCTGCCAGATCTGAATGCAAACTATTAATGAATCATTGCTTTGGCTGCCCTACCTTGTTTATTTTTTCTTCCACCTATCCCAAATGAATTATTTAATGTGCTTTTCTCTCTTTTATTTAACATTTAATGTCTTATGATTAATTAACACACGGGACATATTTTCCGTAGAGGAATCTGCATTGTTAGTCCAAAATAAAAAAGAGAAGGAGAAAGACAAATGAAAATGGCTTTGGGCTGTATTGGTCTTTTTTCGCTCTCTCTCTCTCTCCTTCAGATTGAATAATTTAGAAAAGAGGATAAAGAATTGTTTCTCCAGAAAGTTCTGTGGTTTGTCTTCACTGTGTTGTCGCTTTGCGCAGTGAATGTGTTTTATGACAGATGCAGAAGATTAATCTTTCGCGTTTTATTATGAGAGTGCATGCTCTTTGACAACAGTCACAGGATTTAAAGAGCAGCTTCAAAATGAGCAGATTCTCAGGTGTACCATTATCAGCTGCTCACAGCATAGATTTCACACACAAGCCATTTTATGCATGATATAATCTCTAATATCATCTTTCTAATAAATAAATGTATAGGGACCTTCTATGAAGTGTGTAAAAGAAGGTGACAACTAGCCCCAATCTCCTCTTTTTAAAGAGTAGCTATACCATCAAAAATAAAACAGTTTAAGTTTTGGAAGGATTTACTGGGCAAGGAAAGGGATATTTATAGGGAAAAGGGATAAAAGCACATCCATTATGGGGGACAGGAAGAATTCACCTATTTCTGACAACTGTGAAAGCTAATGCACCATGGCATCCTTTAATCAATAACCATATCAAAATGAGTGAGAAAAAACGCATTGTTTTCATGCATCATACTGTAACTAATTGTTGCACAACAAAGGTTTTAAAAACTAATGTGCGAGCATTTTATTGTACATATTTAACTTACCAGCTTTTACCAAACAGCTTCTCTCTCCAGTTTGGATCAAATCAAGCTCGATTTCCGACTTTTGTCCGTCCATCTGTCTTACAGTTATATTAAATATCAAAACAGATATCATGTCAGGGTATTAATAAACCGATTCATTAAACACACTGCTAAAACACTAAGAAAACTTACCATTGATATAAGCTTACTGATGACAGTATGAATGCATCACATTCGAGTTTTGAGCAACGCAACACGCCTCAGCAAAACACAAATAAACGGACTATATGCAGGGAAATGTTAACAAAGTTATAGAAATGTAAAAATGACTGTCTTCACAGCGACGGGAAGCGTTTCGTTTCTCTCAGACTCCCGCTAGTCGTCACTGCTGGTTTAAAGAGAGCTCCAGCTTTGACTGACGTGTCTGACACACCCGATGACGTCGTGACGGTTATTGCGTTTGACAACACAAGTCAAGGTAACGATGCGTTTTCTAATGTTTGTCATTCAAAAATGATTAATTTAGCGCTAGATCTCATTATCCACGTTCAAACACGTCTTCAGATGCATATTAGATGCTGCTGCTTCTTCAAGATGTCGCACTTTTCCCCCTCACACAAGTGTTGCTTCAACTTCAGGTAACCTCATTTTGCCTCTGTAAAAATAAACCCTTAAAACACAGTATCAATGGTCTTCTGTGTTTAAAAGCAGACATAAGTGCTTCACAAAGGACTCACATGCCACTCACCCATGTTTTGTGTGTTTTATTTTTCTCAACGCCACCTCAATTTAATTTCCACCATCTACAAAAAATAAAAAAATGAGACCTAAATCTGCCATGGAAATGATGACGGTGGGAATTACATTTTGTTTAGCTACAATAAGATATCATACTTGGTCTTACTTTAAGATTAATTAATATATATATTTTTATTAAATACTTTGCTCATTTATTTGGCACTATAAAATATAGCCAAGGGCGGATTTAGAGATTTGGGGGCTAAATATACCAAAGTTGCCATGATAAATTCCTATTTGAATAATAATAAAAAAAATAAATAATAAATAAATAAATATATATATATATATATTATATTATATATGTTTTTACATTTTATAATATATTTTTTGAAATATAATTTGAAATATATGTGTCCTAATAATGTTTTAAGCAACGTGTAACATATTTATATGTCAACATCTAAAATAATTCTGTTTTAGGGTTTCATGACCCTTTAAAATATTTGATTAATTCACAACATTTAATTGAAACAACATTTAATTTTTGCTTTTTTTTGTAGCTCAGCAATTTAACAAACTAACAAACAAACAAACAAACAAACAAAAAGAAAAGGCTGTGTTAAATTAGAAATTACGATTTCTGTTTGAGGGATTTTCAGCCCAACCTTTCCCATCATTTGTGCCCATCTGATTGGTTGGTGGGCCAAATCAAAGGTTACCATAGGCCTTAATTTGTGCATCTCTCCCCTACAGCATACATTTAAAAAGTTTTGACTGTTTGTTTACACTGTAATCGTTTGCCTGTTTTTAGAATACATTTATTATAGATTTTCATCCTGTATGACTAAAAGCCTTTTCACTGAAAGTTATATCAAATCTGTGCATGAAAGGTATTGGAAAACTAATGAATCAATGCATGGTAAAAACTTTTCAAGACAGTTTTGAATGTGATCTGGATATAACAAAAGTAAAAAAGTTTTAAGTGTTAATAAAAATCCACCCTAGAGACATAAAAGTGTCAGAAGTTGAAGAAACACCCAATTATGAATCTACTTTGCAAGGAAAAAAACTTTTATTCTGAACCGTATGCTGTAGCCTGCAGCATAACTGCGGTAAAGTTTTTTTTTTTACTGCACACAAACATGTCTGCACTGTCTCTACCTGTTCCCACAAAACCATCTTAGTTCAGTTTTCACACATGATTCTCATATAAAAGCCAGTCAACAGAGATAAACTGATAATGAGCTCTATTCAGATTTCTCAAGGTTTACAAGCCTGCCAATTTACTCTAACTAGCCTGCAGATTAGAGTTGCATTTTAAAGGGGACCCTGCTGTGTTTGCATATGCTTAGAGAACAAGGGGCCCGCTAATTGAAAAATTAAGATGTGGGAATGTTTGTGGCAGTGGGCTTTGCCAGATTCTGCAACAGTGAGTGCTGCTTAAGTGTGAAAAGCACCCGCTGGAGGAATATTGCATGCCGAAAACAACAGACTGGATACAGATTAAACTAAATGCATGTTCATCGTAGGGAAAATGTTTATTTAAGGGCCCTCTTTCAGATGGTTACTTTAAAAAAAATAAATAAAAATTAAGTCCAGTATCATAGATGCTAACAAGCCAACTCCTAACACACCTACGAAAAATTGACACACTTCAACCTGAAATAAATTAGGTGCAATTTACATTATTTTAAAGATTACATTATTTAAAAACAATTAATTATTAGTAGGCGAGGCAGTGGCGCAGTAGGTAGTGCTGTCGCCTCACAGCAAGAAGGTCGCTGCGTCGCTGGTTCGAACCTCGGCTCAGTTGGCGTTTCTGTGTGGAGTTTGCATGTTCTCCCTGCCTTCGCGTGGGTTTTCTCCAGGTGCTCCGGTTTCCCCCACAGTCTAAAGACATGCGGTACAGGTGAATTAGGAAGGCTAAATTGTCCGTAGTGTATGAGTGTAAATGTGTGTGTGGATGTTTCCCAAAGATGGGTTGCGGCTGGAAGGGCATCCGCTGCGTAAAAACTTGCTGGATAAGTTGGCAGTTCATTCCGCTGTGGCGACTCCGGATTAATAAAGGGACTAAGCTGACAAGAAAATGAATGAATGAATAATTATTAGTAAATTCCTGAAAAACAAGTTCATTAACAGTATGTGTATTTGTAAATCTCTACTTTACACCACTAGAACTGCTAGACGAAACACAGATTTTTTGGGGAAAGACTTTATTGTGTTTAGTTAGATTTTTGGTGACTTTTGTGATTTGCATAATCTATAATCACTTGCTGTTGCTTACTTAAAAGGGATCTATTTTACCTCTTTTATAAGAGTATGCATGATGTGTTGACTCTAGTTTTAGTTTTCCTTAGCCTAAAACTAAACAGTCAGTGTGTTAAAAGGAATAATAAAAGTGGCATTTTTCTCCTCACAGTTCATTCATCACATATTAAAGGGAAACTTACATTCAAATCACATTCAGCGGACCATAAATAACCACCCTAAAAACTCTAATCAATGCTTCACCTGCATAGGTATAAAACAAAAACAACTATATTTAGTCACTTTGTAAAGAAACACTATGGACACACACTGTACATAGTGGCTTCTGAATAGACAGAACAGGTATTATAATATGCACATGCATGACATCTTGAAAGCTTCCAAAATCTGAACAGCTGAAATGCATACAAAATGCTTTTTTTGCTATTGAAAACAGTTTCAGATTAATGTGCGCTAAACAAACGGGTAATAATATGTAATTTGCATTTGTTTTGTGTGCATATTTTTACAGAATAAGTGGCCTGCTAACTGAAAATATATGAAGCCTTGATCCAGTGGACTTTACCAAATGCCTTGCCAAAAACCAAGTGAAGTGGTAAGTGCTGTATTTAATCTCTATGTCATGAGGAAAACATCCAATCCATATATTTTCATATGGATCAATATACATTTTAATTTTATGAAATGTTAGACAAGTCGGAATATAGCTTGCCGGGCTAATATTGGCCTCTTACCTTGAGACAAAGACAGATAAAATGATCTTCCACTGAGTCATAATCTAAATCCAGTTGATAATTAATTATACCGCAACCAGATTCCCTTCCTCTAAATTATTTATGAGTTAACCTCTCTTTTATCCTCCAGTAATGAAATACATTATGTGTAATGACAAAAATAGATTAATTCATTTGTATAAAAGGAGAAAAACCTTGCTGCTTTAAATTGAATGATAAATATAGCATCCCATCCCCCATATACAGATTTACGTGATGATGGATGAGCTGAAAGCGAATGACTTTGATGGACTTGTAGTTAAGAATCTCATGGATTAATTGGAGTAAAATAAAGGATTTTAAAGCAGAAGTATGTAATTTCTGCAAAACTTGCATCACGAAATGACAAAATGTTGATTGTTTTTGTTTTTGTCGTTCGGCTATACCATAGCATACCAAGCACTTGCCTCTGCATATTAAGAGAAATATTTGAACTAATGTAAAATGATATCACACACACTTCAGCTGTGAGTTTCCATTGTTCCCGACAGTTGTATCTAATGCAGATAATTGCTCAATTTCAAAACAAGGTTATGATGTCATTAGGCCCCTAATAATGCCAATAAATCTCCCTTGCATTATTCGCTTTTGTCAGCTTCTATCAAATGTTTGAGGACAGCTGCGTGACCAGGCCATCACGCCAGCTTATTCCAGTGAAAATGACAAAGAAATATCCCTCCCAAGGACAGTCAAAATAGATATCAGAATTTCCAATTAAGACTACAGATAAATGGCCTCACAATACTGCAAAATATCGCAGGAATATGAGAAAAGGAGGAAATTGGATTTGGTGAAGTTAAACAGTATATGACTTAAATCTGTTGGGGATTCTCTCTCAAACAAAGAAAGTGAAGGTTTCCTAAGGCGATGGCTTCACTTGGGAATTCCCAGGGTGATCCAAGAGGGGCCCGGAAAACCCTTGAAGTTATTCAACCCAGTAAATGACTAAATAGATTTTTTTTTTCTATTAACTGATAGCCCCACATTGGTTGACGGCAGACTATTTGACACTCTGTTTTTTATTTAATTAGATGTCAAAGTCAAAATGATCATCTTTGATGAATATTTTTGAATTATTGATATTCCTGGCAATATTGTCTTGGCACTAAAAGGATATTTCCAGTATAGATATTCCGGTGTGAGGTGCAGATTTTAGGAGCCTGCTTAGACATTTAGTAGTCACATTTGTCTTTTTGAATTTATTTTTATATTATTGGACTTCCATAATCCATATCTTCCATATTTATGTGGGGCAATACCCCATTTTGGGGGCTGCATTCAAAATAATTCACAAAAGTAATTTTAAAGAATATGGGCGACA